ATAAGTTTCTACTCGAACACTATGTACTGTAGTGACTTGAATTCATAACTCGTACTATCATTTCCTTTGAACGTCATAATTCTTTTTATTAAATCCCCAGGCTCGGTGAACGCCTGTTTTGTAGCTTCGTGTAACCTTGATAGCTAAAATTCAACTGCTTACTTAGCTAAAATTCAACTGCTTACTTCAATGTTCACTATTATCTATTTGAAAAATAAAAAAATAAGAGATATTATCAATTTTCAAGCACGAACAATATTCGTCTAATTTCGGAATAATAAAAATTCAAAAAACGACAAAAACACGCAAAAACACTTTTATGTTCTAATAGTTATTGAAAAAATGCGAATTCTCTTTAGAGTGTGCCAACATTATAACTGGCAACATTAGACAGTTATGCCTTAGCTTAATTTCTGATCCCTTGTGAAATTAAGTCACGAAAAGTACATGAATCGGCAAAAGGCTATGGGCCTATTTCTTTAGTACCGACACTTCTATTTTATTCTTCTATTCTATTATGTGGGTTGGGGTAAAGAATATGAAGGTTAAATATGTTTATTGATAGCTTGAAGAATGATAGCGCCGACCAACACCTGCGTGCGTGAAGGTCGTCAGAATAAAGACATGACATAGGAAAGCAATGACATGACATAATAGCATAAAACCATTTGGAAAGAATATTGATAACATATGGTAATTCAGTTTTGGCAGTTACGCTCTTGAATATTTAATTACATGATAGGAATTGAATTATAGAGAACTTGGCGGCTTACCCCTAGCAGTTGTTCATACCACGATGCGGACCAGCCTTTTGAACCCGGTATTTCCATAGCTGACGATTGATTGAGATAGCTGCTGGACCTGTTGCAAGGCTCGTAAGGTGCTAGGCATTTCAAGGCTGAACATATGCTCCTGCATAGCTTCGTCTAGTCTGTTCTTGAAGGCTTTCATACTCGGAGCGTCGACGATGCTATCAGGGAGGCTGTTCCACATGTCAGTGACTCGAAGCGAGAAGAAATGTCGCATGGATGTGTTATAACGCAGTTTTTTAGTTCCTAGCCGTGGCCCCTGGTGTTGGTTCTTGTTTTAAATTACATATTTACACTAATTAATTAGGAGTGGGACAACCGTTTGTAACTTCTAAATCAAATCTCATCCCTTCAGCACCCTCATTCTTCAGTACGAATTATATTTTGATGACTGTGATTCATTCATTGACCAGCAAAGTTCGTAGTTAGTGATTTAAATTAACTATTAACGGATGCATCGACTACCAATGGAACCGTTCACGAATTTTACTTTTCTTAAAGGAAGAAATGCCAAAACTAGAATAAAGCTCAGAAATCCTAATAATAATAATAGCGTTAATAATAATAGCGGTTTCAGCGTTACTTAGGCCATAGACCTGTCGCCGATTCTTAACATCGCATAACATTCACCGCTTGTAGCGGTCTCGAACTCGCACCTCACAGCTATAATTTTGCTTTGCTTCAATTAAACCGCCCGGCCTCCTTGCCGATTCTGACCAGAAACTGTCACACAGAGCTGGGATCGAATCCGGACTTCTCTGCTCCGATCCTGGTACTCTAAAATGTAACCATTGGGTCACGGTCATGCGACAAATTAATATAGGTATGTTTAATTTTTTAGTATCTTGTTCAAATTGAGGCTCGTTGGCAATTATATATCAATATTAGCTCGCTAATAACAGTTAATCCTAAAAGATTAACTTATATTTTTAATAGATATGACATACAACATTACCAGTTAGGAACGAGTAGCATGCTTTAGTGCAGTTATGTCTTGTAGACAATGTATACAGCTACGGGTCCAGGACACCTAATCAAAACTTTTTCGAACTCGCCTGTGGCCTCAAACTCGCCTGCGCAACTGTCCTTGTCATAACTCCTTCAATTCGCGCTCTCTAACTCCGCGTTCTATGCTCGTGCTGAAGGGTAGGAAAGTGTATCATTATTTCACCAATATGACTCATTAATTTTACCGAGTGTACCTTCCATCTCCATGATGTGAGGAGTTTTTTTATACAAGCAGTTCAAATGAGGAGTCGCGCACTTCAATCGGAGTTAGAGATGTATTCCATCCCATATCCTAATTGAGTTCAGCTTAGGCAAGTCGTCTTAGTCTCTTGTAGTTATGGTTGCTTCTGTCCGATCATTAGAGGTGTTTTTTGTTGCTGAATTCATCGGAAAGGAATGTTCAATGAGTTGCTTTATTTTCACAATATAGGACGGTTTTGTGTACATGCATGATGTTTGTAGTTATTGGTCTTCTGCCTTTTAGAAGAATTGTGAAGCGGTTTTAAAAATTATTACAATAATTAGATAGCATTAGATTGTGTCGATATAAGAAATAAGCAGACACCAAATAATTTTTTCATTAGTGAGCTGCTTTTCGAAGAAGCGTCAATCCACACCTCGTTCATTCTTTATACTATCCGTACGAAATTAATTTTAGCAAGTTAAACGCTAGATCATTTATTTAACATATCATTTTCAGACTAATTTTTCAGCAACTCAATCGGCCTCCGGCGCTATTTGTAAATTGAATTCATAATCCAACATTCAGTTTTGAAGCTCTTCTCTCTAGTGGGTGATAAAGTCCGTGATAATGAAGCCCAATCCACAACGAGAAGTCACACTATCGATGAGTGTTGCGCGTGATTGGACTTTATTGCCCCGTGAGCGTACCGAGGTCAAGGGTTCCAATCATGGCCACTCTAATCGATGTGATTTCTCTTTCCATAATGCAACTTCTGGTGGTGGCTCTAGTGGCAGCTGCGGGCATCTTTGCAGCAGCTGGTCCCCAGATCAATGGATTTGGAAGTGTATTCGGAGGATCTTTCGAGGTCCAAGATGATACCCAACAGGGCCTGTGAACCCACCACGACGGTATGGACATCCTCCTGTAAGGCCTCCAGCCCCAACCTCCTCTCCAGGAAGGTATGAGGTACCTTCTGTAGGGCCTCCTATCCCGCCCCCACCACCAGGGGGATATGGCCCTCCGACAGTGGTGGTAGCCTCCCAGTAGTACTTACAGCCCATGGTGATGCTTACAGCCCACCAACTGTCACTGGGACTTGTCTCGAGTGTTGCCAGATGGTATATTTCTATACCAGATTTCACAAATCTGGTATTTTCAGGAGTCTGGTATGAATATTTTAGATCTGGTATATTTGCCTAAATCTGGTATTTTCTGACTTGCTGCAAATTTACTGCATTAAGTTTCACCTTTGAAGTTTGAACTTCCTCCAGCGTAGGCTGGATTATATAGATTACCTTCAGAGATGCGCGACTAGAGGTTTCCCGCCATTTTTGGAACCGCAGGTTTACCGCTTGATGAAATAACGCTCGCAGGTTTACAGCTGATGAAACGTAAACGAGCACCCAAATCATTCCAATTTTGATAACTCAAAAACAGATGCAAACAATCAATACACAAATTATGGAGTTTATCACGAGAACCGTGACGCAAACACAGATCATAACCATAACAGGAGGCAATGAGAAAAGCACAATTTCATGACGAATTTCGAAAACCAAGTTCAAACTGAAGATGGTGGACTCCAAACTTAGGTTGTCACTGCAACCAGTTTCATCCTACAAGGATAAACGATTGCAATACCAGGCCCTGATGTTACTAGTACCATTATACAAACAAGTCAGCAGTTAATTCCTACAACGCTCGTTACCACAAGGTTTAAAAACCTATTTGTAACGCAAACCCTATTCACCACTCTGACGAACTTCATAATTCAGACAGTTGTGTCAACTAGCTTCGTGAACCAAGAAGTTGTGTCCACGGCTTTCATTCCACAAGTTATTACGAGAACACAAATCAGTTATCAGACCATACCTGTCATTCAGACCAACACCGTCTTCCAGACAAGTTTCATCACAATACCAGGTGGACTGGATACTCGAACGGTGACAATCACACCTGTAACTCAAATTAAAGGACAAACGATTTTTTCAACTCTAGTTTCAACGCAAGTTACTCCACAGGATTACTTCATATTCCGTCAACAGGAATATGATTGCGACCATCACAAGAACCGTGCCGCCCAGATATTGCTCTACTACTACCCCCCTCCGTCCACTGGAGGCTACAATTATAACCCGCCTTCGATTCCGTTCACATTTGGATTTTAATGTAAATTATTATTAGCAAGTGTGTCTTAGCTGGCTTGTGATGCAAATAGAGAATAATTATCGTAAATATGAATGAAATTACAAATTTTTTCGTCGAGCAAGCGCTCACTTGAAATAATTTGCGGTCGCAAGGCCAGTCCGCTCGTGAACAACGTTAATTTTCGTACATGAAGCCAGTTTCTTCATGCTGGATGTTAACGATTTTTTTTTGTTTGAAAGTTAGCTGCAGTAAAGAGGTGCTAGCTTCGTGAAATTTGTTATTCAGTTAATACGTGTTAGTAAAATTTTCACCAAAATCATAGCTAAAATTTGATGAGGCGCACTTACGTTCAAAAACTACTCAATTAAAGAAGTGCTGACTGACAGATATTCCGAGGAGGAGATGCATCAAAATGAGACCGTTGTGATTTTTTTACAAAAAATTCAATAGAAGTAATCAATTACAAGTAATTAAACAAGAGTAATTTTCGTTTACCAAAATTAAGTCAATAGACACTATTGTTCAAATTAACTATTGGAAAACATTTGAAATGCAATTTGATGAGATTGTCCAAGAAGTCGTAATTTCTGGGCGCTTCATAAATTTTCACACTAGATTGGTCTTTCTTGTAGTAGTCAAATAGTGCTATCATCTGCGAGGGATTTATTGAAATTAACAGAGCACCAATTAGTTTCTTAGTTGATATGACGCTCCTGAGTTTCAAGTGACGGATACTATAGTTACTGTCTATAAGGAATGCATCCACACCAAATTAATGTTCTTGTCTTGCCCACAGGATGCTGTCGGCCGTGCTGTGGCTCGCGCTGGCGTCTCTTTGCTTCTCGGCATCCTTGACGCAGCGACAGTTCCGGCAGTTCGGTGGAGTCCCGCAGATGCAGGGATCCATCAACAATGGCTATCTGCCGCCTCGGCCCACGTCTGGCCCTGGAACATGTCAGCAGTCAACCGCGTTTGTCACGTCCACCCAGTATTCCAACCAAGTGGTGACCATCACCATAAACAGCAACGGAGGTGGTCAGATCATCACACAAACAGTTTTCAGTACACAATTCATACCAACAACATTCTTCTCCAAACTTATGTCAACAATCATTGTCAACAGTGGCCAAATTCAGGCCCAGTTCATAACTATAACGATCACTAATACTCGCACACAGTTTGTTACTCAAACAGGTGGAATTTCATTGGTGACGAGTGTTCAGTTTGTTGACGTGCCTCAGATCGACTTACAAACATGATTTATTAAGCGTACCGTTCAAATTCCTTCAACGGGAGCCACGACAGTGTCCTCAACGACAGTCATTCCACAACAAGTTGTAAGCACTATTTTTAATTCACAGTTTGTTGCCAGAACTATGATTATACCTGGTCGAACACGAACTGTCGTCAGCACATTGTTCAGTACTATTTTCTCCACTGTTAGCATTCATGGACAGACCATTTTTCAAACACAAACTGTCTTCAGCAGAAACTTCATTCCTCAAACGATTACGCTTCGCGGAGCCACTCAAACAGTTGTGTCACCAGTAATGCAACCCATATTCACTACAATTTTCTCCAGTTTTCTCTGAAAACATTAAAACCAGCTTCGTTACTAGCACGCAGTTCGACAATAGAGTCATTACATCTACAATTCTTACCCGGGTGAACAATTCCAACACGCGAACTGTTACGGTTCCTCAAGTGAGTACATCAGTTGTCATCCAAAACCAAATGACGACATCCACAGGCTTTACTCAGGTTGTCATACCAACTTTCGTGACGGTAAGCGGAGGGAACGGAGTTGTCACTGTAACTCGGACTGTCGTTTCATCTCAAGTGATCCCAGGCAGTGGACAGACCGAGTTTATTACAAGGACCGACTTTTCGACTTCTTTCGTCACCTCCACAGTATTCAACACCAATGTGCAGACTACAGTGATCACCATCACCCAGCCCTGTAGTGGCGGGGGCACCAATACTGGTGGATACAACTACACTCCTCCTAGCGTACCGTTCAACCCCTTCAATTGAAAGTCTCGTGTCGCTGTGCACGATAATTTCATCTTTTCATTACTAAGAATGGATAACAGAGTAACGACTCTAATCATGAGTACACTGATGAACTGTAAATATATTTTGATGTTCTGTTGTTATTATAATATTAGTTATTTAAACAATGTCATTTATCAGAACCCACAGCGTCCAATTGCATTGGAAATGTAATCTGTTTATTCATGGCGCTATGAATTCATTCTTCATGTACGCTCGAATCGCCACATTGGAGGAAATTTTAGGATTCTGGGTAGAAATTTTACAATTTTGAATCATTATTATTTTGCGCGCCTGTAATAATTCTTGGCGGTCTGTGAACGGTGAATACTTGTGTCTGATATCCATTGATTACGTCAATGAATACGTCATAATGATTGCTTACGTATTAATATGAATAACAGATAACCACGCATTCACGTACGTTACAGCTTGGTGCATTTGGTTAGATCGTAACGTGTAATTTATCTTACTCCGGCATCGTGGGTGTTGCGCACACCGCTGCCATGCAACGAGAATCTAGGCTTCATTATTTACGGATCGTGTTGACATTAAAGTAATTATCTAATAATCATGTTTGATTTTACTTTTAAAATAATTAAGAATGGACTACAGGTTTACACATATGAAATATTTTCCACACGAAAAGGCCTTTAAAAATAAGCAGGCACTTAGTCGTGAGCGACTATCCTTACGTTACAGTATGTATTGTGAACAGAGGTAAGGACGGTTTGTACGCATGTAAAGATCAGGGGGCATTATACGTGTTCCTTAAGTACACCTTAATTATGGCATTATAAAAATTTTCGTACGCAAGGCTAATCTGAGAAGCTATTGTCAAAATTATCTGGCTAACTGACCAATCAGAGGCTTTGAATTTGCTGTTCCCAGCTCCTGTCGATTCAGTGCGCAGCGCGCGTAGTTGAAAGGAGGTTGTGTCGTGTCAGCGGCATCTGCAGAGACTGACTGGAATGCATATGAAGAAATGAGTGAGACGTTGTCCAAATAGCAATGCACATTTCGTCATTGTGATCAACAATAAAATTTTTGCAATTAAGGCAAAAAAATTACATTATTCCCATTCAAAATTGGAGGACTTTTTAGAGAGCTACCTAGAATTTGGAACATTTTGTGAGTTGGAGTTGTGACTATCAGCAGAGAAAGAAAGTAAACGTGTACGTAGCAAGAAATGCATGAAGATTTTGTTTTAGTGAATGATCATAAAAATTTTGGATATGAATATCAACATTTGCTTGTAAATTATTACGCAAAAGGAAAACAAATTAGCTTCTGCATAAACTCAATAGAAATTATTTTCCCAAAAACACCATTTAGCACAATAAAATATTATTCCTATGTCGAATTATTGACAAAATTATATCGCAATTCATCGTGTTGCTAGCAAATCAATAGTTTCATATTGCTTCAACATACTCAAAACTTGCACGTAACTCCGCTTACCACACCTCCGAGCAGGCGCAAAGTTTCTTGTACGAAGCTTCCCGCGCAAATGTTTTGATAATACCACCACTAGAGTTAAGTTTTCATATCAGCACTTACGCATCACGTAAGTGGCTACGTGTACGTTGCTATGTTTTGATAATCCGGCCCCTGCTGATTTAGGTTTCCAGTCAACAATATACATACGTGTGTTCGCTACCATAGCTCAAATGAAAGTAAAGGCAGATATCAGTCTTGATGTCCAGCTATTCACAGGTTACGTAGGTAGAAATACTTAATATTTATATTATTAATAATTCGAAGCTTGTTTGCTACATTAATTAAAATACAAAAACGTAACTGTACCAGGTAATTTGACTAAAATGGGTGTAAATTACATATATGGTAGATTTTTTGAGATGCTTGGAACATTCCAAAATCGATCTATATTCAATGTATGCATTACAAAGCTATAAAGGAGAAATAAGCAATTAAAAGGTACTTACGTGTATTTTTCATAAAACAAAAATGCTTACAATTACGTATATTAATTATCTAAACTATTTATTTGCCACACTTCCCGTGGCTTACGAGTTTTCATATCTACAAGCGCGAATAGTTCGCACCGGAGCCGTATTAAAACAATGGAAGAACGACCTCAACCTTTCTTACCGTCGCAGCTATTTTAAAATGATGCCTTTCAGAAGTTCAATAAAGAATGCGAAACATCCAAGGAATTGCTTCTTGCGATGGTACAAAACAAATAAAACTTAAATCTAAAGTAAATCAATATTACTACTATTTGAAATGGAGAAAAATCCCACTTCCGTTATTATAGTGAGACTCTCTGTCCTCGCCGAGAAAGCGGTGCTTCCAACCGAAGAATAGGTAGTACAGAAATGGCATGACCTCATTCAAAACGCGTCCTTCAAAGCGTGTGACTAATTCCAAACGCTAAGTTTCCTACACGTGACTACAATTCAATCATGGACGTCCTTGCCAAAGAATAGTTAGTACTACGGCTCGTAAGTGAGAAGTTAGTGAAAGGGGAAGATTTGCATGAATGCAAATATTGATGAACAATAAATAATCATAGGTGAAAACATTGAGGAGCAGAAGTGAAAATTTGGTTGGTCACGGAGGAATGGTCATGGAGGAGGAATGGTCATGGAGGAGGAATGGTCATGGAGGAGGAATGGTCATGAAGGAGCAATGGTCATGGAGGAGGAATGGTCATGGAGGAGGAATGATCATGTAGGAGGAATGGTCATAGAGGAGGAATGGTCATGGAGGAGGAATGGCCATAGAGGAGGAATGGTCATGGAGGAGGAATTGTCATGGAGGAGGAATGGTCATGGAGGAGGAATGGTTCTTGAAGAGGAATGAGCATGAAGAAGAAATGGTCATAATTTTGTGTTCCATTGGAGCAATAGACATCCGGTGAGTCAGACAAACAGGTATCAATACCGAGAAAGTGGACTATACACTATACAGAAGAATAAGACGCATTAGGTGCCACGATTGAGATGATCCAGTCGAGGTAGGCTGCGACCCGCGTGTAGACACCCACATGTCCGCAAAATCGGGGACCGAAGCTAACCACCCCTGTCACCACACGCGGAACGCACGTCCCGTTATGAGCCGCAGTAAGATTGAAATCCTCCTGCATCAGAGGCCCGCCGCTGTCGCCCTGAGATGTAATATAACCGCAGTTAGAAACCAAATGTAGCAGCACACAACTTATCTCACACGAGTCCTTGTTGTCAGCACACAACTCACAAAACACAATCCTTGTTTTCAGCACGCACAACTCACCCCACACTAGTCCTTGTTGTCCTTCTGAAAAGTTCAGGATATTGTCGTCCACGGTCACGCTGATGTTTCGCCTTCATCGTCCTCCGTCTCCAAGATGTCGATAGGCAGGTCGTCCTGCCCTTGGTCCTGAAAATAACGTTGAACGTGCTCCGTGCATCTGTCCTCGTTTGAGCCAGCTTATGCAAAACGCTGTTGCTTGTTATTTGCTTAGGGTAGTGGCCCATCATCGAACAATCCGGGATCTTGCTCAAAAAAGCATCCAGCAGTCTCTTGAAAATCGCAAGGGTGAACTCCCTACTCTCAGCTCTTTCAGCAAGACATTGAGCAGCCGGTCCTACCACGGAAAGAGATCCCTCCTGGAGAGTGTGAACTCTGGCCGCATCTCGGTTGATAAATGGGGAATCCTAAACAGTGCCCCTCTCCTTCAGTTAAGATATGTCGCTGTTTTGAAGGTCTTAATTTCAAAGTTGGGAGCAAGTCCGGTTTTCTTCATCCAAGTGTACAGTATGATGCAGGGTGAACCAGAATTAACTCACCCTTTTAATTTGTTAATAAATAAAAAACTAAGAAGGTTATGAAGTTGAAACTTGTTTTATTTAAAAGAAGAACATTTTTATGGTAATATTGTATCCTAGTTTTTAGGATACAATAACTAACTAGGATACAATATTACACACAATATTTTAACTAATACATATTGTTAATATATAATAAATATTTTAACTAATACAATAATAAAATATTGTTATAGGATACAATATTACCATAAAAATGTTCTTTTAAATAAAACAAGTTTCAACTTCATAACGTTCTTAGTTTTTTATTTATTAACAAATTAAAAGGGTCAGTTAATTCTGGTTCACCCTGTATAACTCTATCTTTCCTTCTCCAGTGAGTACAGTCCAGGGAGTTTCAACCAGCCTCAGTAGTCCAGTTACAACTCCCTCATACCGCTTATTCTGGACGTGAATTTCCGTTAAACTGCCTCCAGTTTCCGCACCACACCCGCCTTGAGCGGCGCCCAAAGCTGGAACCAGTACTGCAGAGTAGGAGCACTAGGGCTATAAAGAGTGAAATCATTTGCGCCACTTATCTCGTTCGGAATGTCCGCCAGGTCCACCCCATCCGTTGTCTGCCTCGTGCAATTATTTCCTAGATACAATCTTCAAAAGTGGCTTCGGTACTAACACTCCTATATTTCGAACAAGTTACTTCTCAATTTCGGCGCCGTCCGATGCCAAATAGCGATGCAACCTCCCGGCCTCTGTGCCAACTCTGTACCTTATTGCCACGAAAGTAGTGCTGCCGAATTGCATATTATTCACTAGAGCCCAATCGTAGATTGAAGATAAGTCATCCTGTAACCTCTCGCAGGCCAGGTCGTCGGTGATTCTCATTAACAATCTTGTATCGTCTGCGAATGAGAGATTGGCGTTATCAGTCTCACTTTGAGACCCTTAGGAATAATTGCATCCGTACCCGGGGTTTCCAGACAAAGTGAGCGGCTTTTTCAATGCTCTAATACACATCTTCAGCATTACTGCCAGAATTCCATCTAGTCCTGGAGCTGAAAAGGCGCCAGTTCTTTGGTGTTTCTTGTCCAACATCAATGTACTCCAACCCTCTTACGCCTGGAAGTTCCTGGAGGACTTCCACTACATTCTCCTGCCTTGAGTAGCGGGGGTTACCCACCGACTGAGCTTACTTGAAGAAATACTTGGGGTTCT